TCTCAGTAATACACTTATCTTAGTGTTTTCAGAACATCTTTAAAAAGAAAGGAAGGAGAAAGATATTTTTTTGCCCTAGGGTGGGGAGTGTGGGATGTGATTTGAGATCAGCCTTAATAGGCTTCTTAAGAAAATTCTAATGGACGTTTCCCCAAGTAACTCCCGGTTTGCAACCAGTTAACAGGAATGTTGCCCCATCGAAAACACGTTTCTCAATAGATCAACCATTTTAAGTAAAGTCAAAGAACTCCAAGATGAGCTCAGAAAGGAAAAACCATCAACCTTCACGAGTGAAGAAGCTGTGGCTCCGTTCCCAAGCTGTTGGAAGAGGCCCATAGAATTATGACAGAATGGTGATTGGCCCTGGACGCTCACACGGGTTGGCATTCTTTTTAAGTGAACATTTTGGCTTGATGATTGTGTTTTGCCAAGTTCAATTAACTCAAAGAGCTGAACTCTCCAATTACTGTTTTAACCAGATCGAAGCTAATGAAACTTTTTTCTTTTAAAAAAATCATTTTATTGGGGACTCTTACAGCTCTTATAACATTCCATACATCGATTGTATCAAGCATATTTGTACATATGTTGCCATCATCATTTCCAAAACATTTTCTACTTGAGCCCTTTGTATAAGCTCCTCTTTTTTCCCCCTCCCACCCAAATGAAGATTATTTTATGGAATGAATCGTAGTCATGGGTGGGTCTTGGGTTTACCAAGACTATTCAGAGAACAAGGTCTAATCAAAACAGTGTCTTACAAGAGAATCTGCTGGACCAGTTCCATTAAAGGCTGAGAGGTCAGCTCAAAAGGTGATGGAGATTTGCCCCTGTGGGTGGTGGTGGGGTGGGGGTGGAGGGTGTCAAACTGGGCATAATTCCCACACCGTGTCTCCAGTGCTGTCCCCCAAAGTGCTATGGGTTAGTGAGGGACATTGTGTATCATGGTGGGGCCGGCCCTAGGGTTTTCTATGTACATTGGCCACTCTAAGCATGAAGAATGTCATCCTCGAGGTTTGGTGGGCCAGGTGCAGTTCTTGCTTATCTATCTATCTATCTATCTATCTATCTATCTATCTATCTATCTCTCCCTCTTAGTTTGCTCCCATGTGGTCTGGGTAAGGGGGTCAACAGTAGCTAGGATTGGGGCTGCCCCACAGTCCTCTCTGTTAGTTTGCTGCTCCATGCCAGTATGTTGCCTTCAAGGCTTGGTGCCCAGAATGAAGGGAGCTCAACAGAGCAGCAAGGGAAGCAAAGCAAGGAAGTTTCTGAGCAATCCCAAAAATAGACTTCTGACTTGGGAGGCAGGGCTTGAAACCTCATCAGACCCGATCAGAAAACATTCATAAGGGTCAGCAGACAGACCTGCAACTATTTATAGGCTTTTCTTTTTGCATGTGTATCTATATTAGCTAGGCAGTATTGTTTACAATCCTGAGGAGAAAACAACGGGACTGGCTGTTCTGGGAGAACATGGGAGAGGAGGAGGTGGGGGAAAGGGAGGAAGTAGCCAACAAATCCAGGGACACGGGAACAATAAGAGATCTAAAATCAATGGTAAGGAAGGAGTAGAACACCTGAGGTAGAACATGATCATGGGACAAGAGGGAAAAGGAAATAGAGGAAAGAACGAGGAGGCAAAAGACATGTATAGAGGTATAAATATAGGCATGTGCATATGTAAATATATTAACATATAATGATAGGGATATAGGTCTATGTACATATATTTATATGTTAAGTATCAAGGTAGCAGACAGACATCTGGCCTCTACTCAAGTTCCTCCCTAAATGCAAGAACACTGTGTTCTAGAAACCTGGCATTTGTAATGGTAATCTTCCCCATATGATTGCTAAAGACAAAATGGGTGCATAAGCAAATGTGGTGACAAAAGTTGATGGTGCCCAGCTATTACAAGCTATAGCATCTGTGGTCTTAAAGGCTTGAAGTTAAACAAGTGGCCATCTAGCAGGGAAGCAACAAAGTCCACATGGAAGAAGCACACCAGCCTGTGTGATCACAAGGTGTTGACTGGATCAAGTATCAAACATCAGAAGATCCAAAACAAACAATTATGTGGATGCGAATGAGAGGGGTTGGAGTGGAAACCCAAAGTCTCTCTGTAGACAGTTGAACATGCCCTCACAGAAAGGTCACAAGGAAGGGACAAGTCAGCCAGGTTGCACTAAAGCACTGACAAAACACACCATTGCTCTAGTTTTTTAATGTTTCCTCCCCACCAGTTCTACCTTACAAATCCAGCTAGACCAGAGCATGTACACTGGTACAGATAAGCGCTCTGGACACATGAAATCCAGGACAGATAAACCCCTCAGGAACAGTAATAGGAGTAGCGATTCCATGAAAGTAGGTAGAAGGTGTGGGGAGAAGGGGGAGAAAGGGTGACCCAATGATCAACCTATATGCCCCCAGGGGAAAAAAGCAAAAATGTGAGCGACAGGAGGCAGTGGATGATGTAAGATATGAAAAGAATAATAATTTATAATTTATCAAGGGGTCATGAAAGTGGGAGGGTGGAGGAAGGAGGAAAAAAATGAGCTGATACCAAGGGCTCAAGTAGAAAGAAAATGTTTTGAAAATGACGATGGCAACAAATGTACAAATATGCTTGATACATTGTTATCAAAGCTGTAATACCCCCAATTAAATGATTTATTTTTTTAAAAAGGTGATGATTTTTGTTGGGGTCCCCAAAGAGTAAACTTGGTTTTTTGGGGGGGAGGGCTTTGTTTGTATTTAAGGACTCATGATGATCACAGGTGCTTACTAGGAAGAACTTTTGAGAAAATGAAAACCTGCACAGGTAAGAAACAGACCAGAAAGGCTGTGCTAATGAATTTGTTTTTCTATCACAGCACACTTGCTCATTCTTGGAGGACAAGAAGGCAAACCTTACCCTGCCCACTTCGGTGCTCTAACCTTGCCCCTTCACACTTTCTTTTGTTCCCCAAAGTCCTAGAACACGTTTCACCTCTTAACTGTTGTTCCAAGACATCAAGGAAAAGAAGGGTTTCAGACCACCGTTTTCCAAAGTTGACAATAAGGTCCTCTGGGTATCCAGGCACTGCGGAAGCAAATACCTACACTTTCTCCTGGATTATGGGCTATATATAGCTCTACTCCAGTAGTTAGTCAGGGATACCCACAGGGGCTGTGAGTCGCATAGAGGGCATTGATTTTATGGCAGTGAGTTTGGTTTATGAGCTGTAATACCCACATTTTCAATTACCAAGGGTGGGTTGAGGAATTTTTTCTTTTAAGTGTTGAAGACAAAGTAAGTGTGGGAGCCTATGGGATAGACAGATGGAAATAGCACCCTCAGCAGCGTATAGACTTGGATGGAGCTATATCGCGAAAGAAAGAGTTTTTGGAATAATGGTTTCTAAGATTTTGTAGCAACGCTATTTGTGTGACTACCCTCTGGAGTAATGGTTGCTCTGGAGAGGGAGGCAATAGACGAAGGAAATGTGACCTTAACCCTAATGTTTTGTGCGTGAGCGTGTGTAATTTTAACAAAGACATTGTATTCTTCAAATACTAGTGCTTGCTTTCATTTGCGGTGAAAGTTAATTTTGGAAAGAAGTGGGCATTTCTTCTCGAATGAGAAAGGGACCGAGGGGTAGCCGCTCTCTACAACTTGTAAATAATACAACGCCTTTCAGAAGACGAAATCAAAAAATGTGGTCAAGAAGACAAAGCATGAGTGGTTGAAAGGAACAATGGCGTACGTGAAGGCAAGCGTCCTACGATTATTAGAAGCCTGGGTGGGGGAGGAGAACCTCAGCCGACGCAGGAGGCGAGAGCCGCGCTGGAAAGCGAAGCCGGATTCCATGGGGGCGGGGCCACGCTCTGCGCATGCGCACCCAGGTCCCGGAAGCGGACCCATCTAGAGACGCCGCGTCGCCGGGGTGCTGATGCGCGTGCGCAGGCCGACCTGCGCCGGAGTCTGTCTTCATCTTTGCCGCCTCCGTTGCCTTCCCTGGATTTGAGTCGCGCGCTTTCTTACTTCCCTCGCTGCCGGGTGTGCGCCCCTCTCGCGCTCCTGGGCAGCGAGGCTGGGAAGGGGTTTCCAGGGGGCTGTTGTTCACCGCCTTTAAATTGTGCTTGGGGCGGCCATGTCGGCCGGCGAGGTCGAGCGCCTAGTGTCGGAGCTGAGCGGCGGGACCGGAGGGGATGAGGAGGAAGAGTGGCTCTACGGCGGTACGGAACTTCCTGTCCCTGTCGGGTTTCCTGGCTTCTCTCTGCCCTTCCTCCCCGGCCCGCACACGGCCGGCGTCCCGGCTTCCTCAGGCCGCCGGCCTGGGCCTGACTTAGGCCGAGCGCGGTGTGCGCCACCCCGCCCCACCCCCCGTCCTCCTCGGTGTCCCCACGCCCCCAACGCGCAGCCACCCTGACGCGGAGGGGTCGGGGCCCGCGGGCCGGGGCTGGGATCCGGGACCCGGGCCCGCTCCCCAGAGCCGCCCCGCCGGGCCGGGCCGCTGCCGCGCTCTTTACACCAGTTTTAAAAATCGGTTCCGAACGGTGTCGGGTGCCCTTTCTTGTTCCTTGGCTGTAGAATCCCCTCCCGGTCCCTTCCGGGCCAGAGTCCTGTAATCACAGCGGAGTAAAGTGAATGCCGCAAAGCTCCCGTGCTGTTTCTCCGCGACCCGTGCGTACAGCGTGCACCTGCAAGGGGACTCCTTGGCGGAAAGTCGTGCTTTAAAAATAACATCAGAGAGAGAAAGATGGGTACATTCCCGGGTTCTTAAAGCATTCCCCGACTGTTCCCCTGCCCGCAGGTGAAGTTTTGTTCTTTTTCAAGCGATTCCTTTTGAGCCAACCTTGCAAAAGTCCCTTCAGATGATAGTTTTCAGGAGCATCTTTTCCTGAAAATAAGTGGAATGCCGCTCGAGCTTCATTCTCCACGGGTGCTCTACCTGTGGTGTGCAGTGGCCCGTTCACGTTACTGTTTATTCCTTGCCTAAAAATTCTATTCTTGATTAGTCTTCGAAGTAGGCAGTGGAAGTGCCCGATTGGGTACTGCGCTGACTGGGGATGAGGTTACTTTGTTAAACTTTGATACAGTTAGTGTACGAGGAATCCCCCATCTTTGGCCGTAAGATTTTAGCGCGTAATCTAATGTTCCTTAATGGAATATGGAGGGTTTCTTTTGCAAAAAGATCTGGGAGGCTTGAAAAAACCACTTCAAGGGAGTTCACTTTTTTAGCAGTCAGGTGATTGCCGCCCTTCGCGCACCCCTTCCCCAGCCCCCCATAAAAGACTTTTTTTTAAACTTGTTACATGATTCTAAGGTGATCTAACTTTGGATATGCTTATAGGCCCATGGGACGTGCATGTGCACACTGATTTGGCAAAGGACCTAGGTTAGTGCTTGTGATGATCACTTCAGATTTTCATAATGCTAGTTTCTTGAGTGATTTGTGTATTTATTTTTATCGCCCCCCCCTTTCCTTTGGCAGATGAAAATGAAGTTGAAAGACCAGAAGAAGAAAATGCCAGGTTAGTGCAATACCCTGTTGATGTCTTCACATTTGTGTGAGATAGTGACTCTAGTGCCAAATGCTCAGAATCGCTTCACTGTCATTCTGCCTTGTTACAATGTTCTGACTAAAGGGTGGAGGCCATTGAGCTCTTGAAGGCCTTACTCTGGGTCAGGAGGTAATTTTTTTTTTTTTAAATTATTTTATTGGGGGTTCTTTCAGCTTGTGTCACAGTCTGTACATCCATCCATTGTGTCAAGCACATTTGTACATGTTTTCATCATCATTTTAAATACATTTTCTTTCTACTTGAGCCCTTGGTATCAGCTCATTTTCCCTCCTCTCCCACCCTC